TCTAGATGGTGCTTTATGTCTATTGGTGCGGTGTCCGCTAATGCCTGTTTCTCAGGATTGGGAGCCAAGGAGCCTTTCTTGTTGCTGCCTCTTCCTATATTCTTTGTTCCTTATATATGCAAGCTTATATAGGAGGCCCAGCTTCCCTCCCTGTCAGCCACAGCCTGATCGAATTGCGCCAGCTAGGTGTTCCCTCCCATGGCAGCACACCAGGGAGTTACGCACCAGGCAGCCTACGCGGGGCCCGCCCCTCCAGGCCATCCTCAGGCTATGGGATCTGGGTTGTGCTAGCCTACTGGGTCTCTGCCAGCAGCATAATGTAGGCTAGGCACTGTTCACCAATCCCGCTTGAGAGGAGATATGTGGCTGAAGTCACTGCAGCACCCCACTCCCGCAAGTCTGCCCAGTCCCAGAATATCTTCCGCTGGGGCCTCATTAAACTGTTGAAGAGTGTCAGTTTCTCTCACTCACCTCACCGCAAGTCAATGCACAGCTCCCGCCCATCCTGTTTTCGACTCCGTTCACCGATTCCCATTCTCAGGTCTCTCTCCCTGCTGAGACGATGTAGATGCAGCCGCCACACGGCGGGAAACCCATATCGCGGCTTCCAATGGCGCAGGCTCCAGCCTCCACACTGAGGCCCCTCTCTTCCTGTTCTAGCACTAGGACTGCATTCCAAGTTGGTTTCTCTCAGCCAAGTTCGTTCCTGGGTCAGCAGAACATATCTCCACCTGCTTATGACTCCTTATTCCGCACCATTCCTGAATTCTAAGCCAAGTCTTTCAGAGAGCCTCCGTAGCTGCTGCTATCTGTCCGCCATGTTCTGTGAATAGCCAGGGGCAGCCTTCTAACAGGAAGGCGGGAGTCTGTACAGCGGGGAAGGTGCTTGGCCATAGGGCCACTGTAAAGAGGGAAAGGGTGCATGAGTGAAGGCTTAGGCAGTGCTCAGAATTGACAAAACATAGAGATTGTGAAGTCGTACCTTAGGGGATAGCGTAGGAGTGTATGAGAATGTAGCTATCATAGTTAATGTGGTCCTCAAAAAAAGTATTCTGTTTATCCATATTCCTTTTCTAGAAAGCAACCTAGACCCAATATGAACTTTTCATTCTCTTTTGACACTATTCAAATCCTAAGCTTTAAAAAAAATAAAAGTTTTCTTTTGTATTTAAAAAAGTGTACAATAGTTGAATGGCATGGTGAAATATGAGCATAAAATATGTAACACTTAAAATTTACTGTCACGAATCAACTGAGGATTCTTTTGCTCAATTTGAATAGAAATCATGACTTGGCTCCCTGGATGTCAGGTGCTCAGGGGTACACTGCAAGTTGTTCTCTGCCTTCAGTGTCACAGACCATAGTGTTAATCCTGTGTGTGGCTGCTAGCCACACTTATCAGCTCCTGAGCAGCAGACTGGTCTGTTGGTGTCATTGTAGGACCCTCAAAGCTGTTTTCTGGAGCCATAGCTCATTGCTGGTCTTTGTGACTTGCACCAGTCACCACTGGTTGATGGTTGTTGCTATTGATCTCTCTGCTGGTTACTGCAGAGCTCCACCAATGAGCACCAATGAGCTCTTCAGAGCTGCTAGTCTCTGCTGCTGCTGTTACCAGCTTTAGTGCCTACTCAGCCCCCGCTGAGTAAGAATCATGAGTAGGTAATGGGACATTTCAAACCCCTCCAAGTGACCTGAGTAGTGTGAAGGAGTGGTACTTAGGGCAAACACATACTGCCCTTGTGGTTTTACGTATTTCCCAGCCTTCTGAGGACTTCAATAAAAATGACAGAGGGAAAGAGAGTCAAGGACTGGCCACAGGACACAGTCATCTGGAATAGGCCTGTGTTTAGCAATGGGGCCCACCCCAACCCAGTATCTGTCCTGGGATGTGTAGTTTTCTGTTCATTCCTGACAGAGGCAGCAGTACCCAGACCAGCAAAAGCAAAGGAGGGCACTGAGGCTGTCAGCCAAACTCTGGTTTCTATCAGCATGGCCTGGAGGACAAAAAAAAAGAAAAGAAAAGTGAAGTAACTCTGGGGTTGGCTGGAAGACCACTATCCTTGAGGACTCAAGGGGCAGCATAGGATATGATGTAACCGCAGTGGATCATGCCTTTTGGCTGTCAGGAGGAAATGAGAGGAGTTGGGCCTCATTTCTGTTCCATTTTCTTACATTTCAGTACATGTGATAACACATTCTTCAGAAGAAAAAATGATATGAACAATATATATGCATTATGGGCTTGTTATTGGAATAAATCATAAACATGTCTTTGAAATTTGTGACTAGTTAAATAAAAATATTGCTTAGATTACATTACGTATATGCTAGTAAGAATGTCATGTTTCAGAAAATAATTGATTTTTGTAATTCTGTTAATATCTTGAATCATAATCATGAACTGCTTTATTGTGAAAGTGTCAATTTCAGAAAAAAGCTTTAGGTGACTAATAAAGTTCATCATATAAACACATAAAAAGTATCTAATTTTATAAGATGAATATACTTACATGCATTTGAAAACTTGGAGAGAACATTTTGTTAATGTTTAACTTTAGGCACAATTCTAGTGACATATAATTTAACTTTGCTGTATGTTCTAATTAATATACAATAAAATTTTGCCTAATTTCTTGAATTTTATGTCCTCTCCAGTATGATTAAATTTCAGCCGTTCATCTAAACTGCCAGCCTCTGAAAAGGTCAGCACCTAATACACAGAGCTCAGCACTGCCCATCTAGAACCTTTCCTGATCTGTTCCAGCAGCGAGCGGACCTTGCCATGGAAGGATTTGCAGATCCACAGGATCTAGAGAGGATTCAGCAACCCATCTGGTAAAGCACAGCATCTGATTCTTTGATGGAAAATATCTGCCCCAAATCGGCACTATTACATTGTGGGTGTGGCAGTGGGAGGCATAATTCAGAATTTAGGGCAGAGATGTTCTGATTTAAGTATAAATCAGAGTTCTTTTTATCTGTTTTGTCTTTGTAGCACTGGGGATTGAACCCTGGGCCTCATGCATGCTAAGTAAGGGCCCTACCACTGAGCTATACCCCAGCCCTTAGAAAGTTCTTTTTAGAGTGCAGAATCCTGGACACCAACCTGAGAAGCTCTAGTTTAGATCTGGAGTATGACTCATGAATTTGCTCTTTTATTTCTCAGAGGATGCTGTATCAGGGTCCCAGAAAAAAAACCCTGCAAAACAATTGTGTGGTACTCTCACACTTGAACTTTAGCTCAAATTATATCTGCTCAGAAATATCTGGCCTGAAAATGACTACACTGCCCCTTCAGTTACAATCTATGCATTTATCAGGCTTTATAGTTCTTCCTAGCAGTAAGCAAAGCTGAATTCTTTTTGTACTTATTTTATTCAAGGTTCTTTCAGTTCTATCAAGGACACCTCTTCGTCTTGTTTTGTTCACTGATGTATCCCCAGGGTCTGCAAAAGTGCCTGGCAAATGGCAGAAGCTCAAAAACACTTTCTTTCAATGATGAAATTACTAAACATGGAGTTGTGTAGGGAGCGGTGCGACCACCCCGCTGCTGTCTCCCCGCCTCTCCCTCCTATGGGCACATAATGTGCCTGCCTACATTAGCCATAATCCTCTCCTACTTATGTCAAGTACATGGACATGACGATGACCCATCAGAGATCACCCCATAGCCTCTTCCTGTCCCATCAGCCTGCCCCTGCTCTATAAAAGCAGTGCCCACTTTATCAATAAATGAGGCTTGATCAGACTTTCTCGACTTGTCTCCGTCTCTCTGTCTCCGGCCCTGTCTGTGTTAATATCCATTCCTTCTTCAGGAAACTGCCCCGTGGATCTGGGTCAGAGTTGTGGATTGAATTCTGACACAACGCTACATGGCAAATACCCACTTCTTTAGCTATAAAGGGAAATAATTCTGGCTAGAGAAGAGGGAACAATAAGACTTTCATAAAAATTAAGAATATATTTGCCAGAAGATTTGCTCAAAAAAACTGATAAAGCTCTGATAAAAAGGAAACATAATATTAGCAAGCACTGAATAATGCTTTTGACTTTTAAAAACTGTATTTGTTGGCAGCAAAATTTATAGATGCTTTGACCATCATTAGCGGTCAGCAAAATGTAAGTTAACATGATCATAATGCAGCCTGTAATTCCTGTCTTGCTGATGGGCAGCTCTCAACCAGTGGTGGTACATGCATGACTTTCCCATTGACTGGCATGGGACAGTCGTTCATGTACTACCAGTGATTCCAACCAACAGGAATGTGTTAAGACAATGATTACATACATCACAGATCTAATAGGAAGGCTAAGATAGTGCCAATTGCTAAAAGGTAATATGGAACAAACAGAATGCTCATCCTGGTGGTGGGAATGTAAATTAGGACAGCCAGTATGGAAAAGTTTGGCAGTTTCTTATTAAATTAAACCCAAATTTATCCTGTGAAAAGGCCATCATGCTCTTGGGTGTTCAACTCAGAAAAGCAAGAACTTACATTCACACGAAATTAGGCATACAAATATTTACAGCATCTTTGTAACAGAAAAATGTTGAAAACAACCTGAACATCTATCAATAATGAATGAAAAAATAAACTATGGCACACTCACAAAAACTACTATTCAGTAACAATTTAAAAAAAACCCCTATACATTCAGCAGTTTTGGATGATCTTAAATCTGCTGAGAAAAGGCACCTGTAGTAAGGGTTACATATCACATGATTCCCATTTATAGCATACTCAACAAAATTAGAATGCTTAAGTACTGATCAGCAATTACCACGTGATCAAGTTGGGAGGAGAGGGTTTGAGTATTAAAAGGTAATAGGGGAGGTTTTCTTGTACAGCTTATGATTTTGGTGGAATTCACAGAAATCTGTACATTGTAAAATTTTTTATAGTTCTACATACACACACAAAAAACATCCTATCCTATACACTGAAAAACTCAAGTCTGCAAGAGCTAATGATATGATACAAAACAGGCATAGAACACACTTGCCTTTCATATTAAAATTTAATCAACTGAGAACAATCTTTGTTTGAAACAGTGTCTTGGTATATACTGCAGGTTGCCCTTGAATTTGTTTATGTAACTCAGGTTGGCCTTGAACTCATGGTAATCCTCCTGCCTCTGCTACCAAGTGCTGGGATTACAGGTGTGAACCACCACACGCAGCTGAGAACAATCCATTTTAAACTGGTAGAATCATTGAGAAAACTGTGTTTCAAAGTGATTACCAGGTGTTGTAACTATAGCCTTGTGATAAGACAGTCCTTTAAAATACATTATTTTAATGTGGGCTTTTGACTTCTATGAATGTCTGACACCTTGCTAGTTACTACACTTTTAGTGTGTTCTTAGTAGTTTTGTTTCTGTATGTTTTAAGGATAAATGATGAGGTAGAATATAGCACTATAAGTCCTGTCATATGTATTACCATCTGAAATGTCCTTTCTTCAGTGTGAAATAGTTCATTACAAAGGTTTTATTTCTGTCATGTCCACAGAAGCTCTCTTAAGTTCCTGGGTAGAAGACCATCAAGAGGATAAAGAAATTAAAGATAGAGACAGAAAGCTAAGGTCACGTGGATCCCTTTCTCCTGATGGGCAGAAAAGACTGCTCATCCACTGCAATGTGTTTATTTGTACATTTGCCATGAAACGCCCCTTTGCTTAACTAGCTAAGATCTGTGTTCTCGTGTTTAGAACACCTGTTCACCTCTTTGGCTCCGCACGTCAAGAATCACTAGCTCAGCAGCTCGCAACACATTTTTGGGCAAAATACCTTCCTATGATCACTATGGCACTGTTTCAGCTCACTGATAATCTATTTTGTTCATCAATGAGATAGTGTCTTTCTTCCCATACAAGGGTTTCTTAGTCTCCCTATTCACATGTACTGTAGCTCCACATATTCAAGACATGTATTTACTTAGAAATTCTTCAACACTTTTCTACTTTGAATGTATCAGGAGGGTTTTCCCACATTTGACATACAGTATGTGTTAATCAGTGAAGGCACTAGTATATTGTCTATAGTCATTTAATTTTACTTCTATACTGCTGCTCTACACAAAATGGTACTCATGTATGCTAGGAGCACATTAATACATGAGTTCAAGTACTAATATGGTTTGGCCCTCCTAAGCTTGCTTCCATGTCATGAATTCAAATTATGTGCAAAAGATTATGTGCCTTGACATAACACATTGCTTATAATGTGTAGTGTATTTTTAATGAAACATGATAAATGACATTAGCTCCACTTGCTAAATCCATAATCTCTTCTCTAGTAGAAATTCTTTGATTATACTGGGTGCACCAAAGAATTAAAATAGACAATTCATGTTGAAGATTTTCCCACAACTGCATTTTTTAATAAATTCTCTGGTGAAGACTTCACAGTGTAGAATTCTCCAAACTCACTATACATAAAGAAAGTCTATTCTGTGTGAAACATGATGTCGTAGAAGACATACTTTCTTCCTGACGACATAAGCATTATTCATTGCATTGTCAGAGTTTGATTCCACTATGAGTTTGCTGATGTACAATAAGATTTCTCTTTGAGGTGAAGGCTTTTCCACAGTCACTGCAAATAAAAGGTTTCTCTCCTGTATGTGTTCTTTGATGAACAATTAGGCGACTTTTCACAGTGAAGCCTTTACCACACTCATTGCATGCATATGGTTTCTCTCCAGTATGAACCTGCTTATGTAAAATGAGCTCAGTTTCCATGACAAAGCCTTTTCCACATTCACTACATGTATGGGACTTCTCTCTTACATGGATCTGCTGATGTACAATAAGATAACGTTTCATGGTGAAGCCTTTCCCACATTCACTGCACATAAAAGGCTTTTCTCCAGTATGAGTTCGCCAATGTACAACAAGATTGCTCTTAAAGGCAAAACCTTTCCCACATTTATTGCATACATAGGGTTTCTCTCCAGTGTGAGTTCGCTGATGTACCATTAGTCCACTATTAACAATGAAACCTTTCCCACATTCACTACATTTGTAAGGTTTCTCTCCAGTATGTGTTCGCTGATGTACAATCAGTCGACTTTTCAAGGGGAAGCCTCTCCCACATTCACTGCAAATGAAGGGTTTCTCACCTGTATGAGTTCGCTGATGTATGATGAGTGCGGTCTTGACAGTGAAGCCTTTTCCACATTCATTACATACATAAGATTTCTCTACTATATGATTTCGCTGATGTACAATGAGATTACTGTTCCTGAGAAATCCTTTTCCACATTCACTACACACATATGGTTTCTCTCCTGTATGAATTCGCTGATGTTCAATCAGACGATGTTTTATGGTAAAACCTTTCCCACATTCATTGCATATATATGGTTTCTCTCCTGTATGATTTCGCTGGTGTATGATAGCATAGTGCTTTGTGGTGAAGCCTTTCCCACATTCACTGCAGATGTAGGGCTTCTCTCCTGTATGAGTTCGCTGGTGTATGATAAGCATGCTTTTCCCAGTGAAGCCTTTTCCACACTCACTACATACAAAGGACTTCTCTCCAGAATGATTTCGCTGATGTACAATGAGATTACGCTTACCCGGGAACCCTTTTCCACACTCACTGCATATATAGGGTTTCTCTCCAGTGTGAATTCGTTGATGTTCAATCAGACGGCTCTTCATGGTGAAGACTTTTCCACATTCACTGCATGTAAATGAATTCTCTTTCTTATGAATTCTCTGATGTTCATTGAGTCTGGACTTTCTGGAGAATACTTTTGCACACATACTGCACCCATAAGGTTTCTCTCCTGTATGAACTCTCTCATGATCAGTAAGCTGAGACTTCTTGACAAAGGCTTTTCCACATTCACTGCATACATGGTTTTTCTCTATTTTATGAATTTTCTGAGGCTTAATGACTTGGGACTTGTTAATGGGTTTTCTACTTACAGGGAATTTAACAGAATGAAATTGTTCACTCTTGCCATTCATAAATGTCTCCACATTTTCCTTAAATTTAGTAGCATTCTTAATTTCATAGTTTTTGTTCTGATTTTCAAAATTTAACTTTGACTTGAAAGTTTTTATATGAAACACAAGATGACTTTTGCTTTGAAAAACTGTGTTTCCAAATGCATTGTGTTTATGATATTGTTCCATACTCTTTAGCATTCTTTGATTTTTCATGTGACCCTGTAGATGATTACCAACTTGGTCATTTTCTACAAAAGAAGAGAATAATAAAGATGGAGGAAAAAGTTTTTATATTGTATATATACTGGTAAAAAGAAAATATGAAGTTAAATGATGGCTTCAAAGGGAAGAATAGTTAGTGAAAGTGACAAATTAAGGATTATTTCACTAACTATATGGTTTGAGGCAATGAGGAGGTAGACGACTCTCAAAATAGGAATATGGCTAAGACCAGGATGAAATATGCATTGTGAAAGGGGAACTATGGGACTGACTTTAAATATGTAATACTAACATCAAGAATCTAACTTGAAATATAAATGGAGATAATCATGTGAAAGTAATATATATTCATTATTCAAGAAAACAGAATCTGGGCTGGGAGTGTGGTTCACTTATAGAATCACAAGCTTTGCCTACATGTGACCCTGGGTTTGATCCTCAGCACCATAAAGGGAAAAAAAGAGGGCTGGATGACATGTTGGGAGGACATGTAAAATGAAAAATGATGAAGGTATAAAATCAAGATTTTAGACATTCATGCATTTGAGTTTGGAGATTCTTTAATCCCAATTAAAAGAATATAACTCTTGACTATAGATATCAGGAAAAAACATGCAAAATAAAATGTGTAGAATATACTTGTTATCTAACAAGTGAAAATGTGAGAGCCATAGAATTTCACTTCAAATGAACTGAAACAGACTTCTATGTGGTAATGCTATTTCTAAATTTGTCTTTTGATATGTAAACCACTAAAAATTAACTTTCCCAAAATATCAACACAATTAATAGAAGATTTAACATTTTAACCTTTGGCCTAGCTGTGTCCTGTTACAATACATTACACTTTAACGAAACAGAGAAACAATGATTATTGGAGAATTTTGCAAGTACCTGGTATACCATGTAGATTTCTTCAGAAGCTAATGTGTTACTGCACAGAATATCAAAACTGTCATCTTCACTCACATTCTCTACATACAGTCGCAAACTCAGAGCCCAACTTTTCCCATTTCAAAGTCCATAATACTGTACACTGTTCATTTTAGCATTGGTTAAGCTACACTAAACCTCTCCCTTCTGAACTAAAGTTATGCCAATTTTACCTTCAGTTTTTCTTAGATTTGAATGTTGTTTATTACTGCACTACACTGCTACCATCCATGTGAAAGACAAAACTACTTACAGATGTAAAAACACAAAGCCAAACTTCATCATCTTACCTCATTTACATATACAATCTAAAATTTAAACAGTTATCCTGGCAATAAGGTTTCCACTACCCTGACTATTGCATTTTCTAACACGGGTCCTCATTTGGCCAGCTGCAGCACAATCTATTGCACCATGACCTCACACACTTCATGCCTTTATTCCTAATATTCCAAATTCAAAATCTAGATACACTGTGTACATATCATGTCATTCTTTCTATTATACCACAGTAAGACTTATTTCCTCTGTATTTCTAAATTACCTCGTTCCTTATTATTCATTTTTATTGTTACCCCAGTATTGTGAAGATTTAACCTCACCCAAAGAGAGGTGTGACCACTGCCTGTGTCTAATAGGCTATGAAATTTTTTTTTTTACATTTTTTTTTCTTTTTCCTTTTTATCGGTACTGGGGATCGAACTCGCGACCGCCTGCTTGCAAGGCAGGTGCTTATGCCGCTGAGCTAAATCCCCAGCCCCCTAGGCTCTGAAATTTATGACAGGGGCTGTGGGCCATGCCATACAGTTCTATGCTTTCAAGGAACCAGAAACTACAGGTCTGACTTTGGATATTCAAGATTAAAGATCAGCTGTGTGGGAAATATGTGAAGCCTAATAAATGTTCAGGACACAAAAGGTTCATGTGAGCTTCCTTGGTTCATAGTCCTCTGGGTATAGGGTTTCACCCAGTAACCAGGAAGAAATAATGTATCTATTTGTCTAATGGGGGAAGACAAAAAGAAGCACTGAATATGGATCTTTCGTGCACTCCATACGATCCAGAATTCTAATCACAGTAAAGATCAAAAAAAAAAAAAAATGAAAACATATGTTCACAGAAGCTTGTACATAAATTTTCAGAGTAGTATGATTCATAAAAGCTAATAAATTGAAACAACTCAAATGTTCATCGACAGGTGAATAGAAAAATGTGATATTTCCATATAGTGGAATATTACCTGGAACAAGAATGAAGTATTGATACATGTGAAAACATGGAAAAATGTCACAAACATAACTAATTTGAAAAAGGACCACATATTTTATGATTCTGTTTTTAAGAAATGTCTAAAACAAGAAAATTTATTGATTAAAAAGTAGTTTTGCGATGCCTAGGGATAAAAGCCTGGGGTGAAAAGGGTTGTTTTGTTTTAATTCTGGTTTTTGAGACATGGTCTTGCTGCATAGTCAATTCACTTGAATTCACTATGTAGCCCACGTTGGCTTCAAGCTTATGCCTTAGCCTCCTGACTACTGTGTAGCCACTATGCTGGGTGACAGAAGTGGGTTGTAAGTGTGCCAAAGCCCTCCAAAATTAGGGAAATGGTTAAATGATCTTGTTAATATTCTAGAAGGTACTACATTGTGAATGTTAAATTGGTAAGTTATATGATATGTACAGTACCTCAATAAAGTTGTTTTAAAACATAAAAATCAAAGGCAAAACCAAGTGGCTTAGGGAAATGAATGCAATCTCAAAATCTAAGACAAATAGAAGAAAAATCAATCTATCAAGTATAAAGAGGAAATAAACTAAGACATAAGTGATGATCAAGTTTAGATTGGAACTGGTGTAGGATATAAAAGTCCTTTTAAATTAAATAGTCAATAGAAATAGCAAAGGAGGATTTTGCAGAAGAGGACTTTGTAGTAGAAAATATGCAAAACATATCATCAACATGAAGAAAGCAAAGATATATGACAGTTAAAGATACTTTTAACTTTAAATCAGGATGGTGGAAAAGGTGTTTTATGGAGGGAACAAGATTACTATTCTTTGTAGAGCATACAGAAAGCCATAGCCGGTTGCCATAGAGAATATTAAAATATACAGAAGTGAAGTGTACATTCAGGCAATATTAGGGACCTATCAATTTAGCTATCATCTAGAGAATAGACAAAGCTTACACAAGAGAAAACAAAATTTAAGGATTAGAAAGTGAACACTGAAGAATCAAAGAGGGAAGAAAAAGCAGCTAAGAACCAGATAAATGTGCATAAAGATCAGGCTTACTGTGAAGGCACAATATTCAAGATGTGGTTGGTTTTTAGGAAGGGGATCAATTTGCCAGGAGGGCAGGAAAGCATAAGTCAGAATTCAAAGATCTCTAGAGAGTGTGGTCTACAAGAGGAAGAACCTTCAAAGGGAGTGGAATGAATAGGAAGAGACGGAATTTAAAGAAGAGGAAGATGAGAGAATCCAAGGAAGAAGAAACTAGGCAAACAAATGAAAAGGAATATATAAGATAAGCAAAAAAAAAAAAAAAAAAAAAACAACAACAACAAGCAGTTTTACTACCCTCTAAAGACCTCAAAGAAATGTTCTAAAATTGGAAGAGGAATCCAGAGGCTGTTTCTGTATCTTCAGACACCTTCATAGGCTCGGACTGACTAAAATATGATTGAATGGTTATGTATATTTGTCCTCCTCATTTACTCACCTGGACAGATATGACTGTATATTTCATCTATTATCCAAGGACCTCCTTGTTCCAACCTGAAGAGTGCATCGGGCTTGCTGCCTTCATACCCTGTTTATGGGCAAATGAGAATCGACTTGGACACACTGATTAGGTTGGGATACATCTACACAGGAGCGTTATTTCTAAAGACAGTTTTTGCATCTGCAGAGCAAAGGCTTTTCTCACAGGAGAGAGCACAATGGTCTCTCTTGGAAGCCAAGAGCCTGCCACATGAAATCACTGTGGACGTTGGGACATACTAGGTAGCTGTTCAAGGAAAGGCTACATAAGACACACTTGGGTGACACAGGTCAACTGTCCTTACCCACTGACACCAGATTGCTGTAGTTCTCCAACATCACATTTCTGTACAGATTCTTTTGTGCAGGATCCAACAGCTGCCATTCCTCCTGCATGAATGTCACAGTCACGTCCTCCAGTGTCAATGGCTCCTATAATAATGTCTGATGAGTTTCTTCTTTTATTCATAAGAAATGTAAAGGAAGTTGTACTGCTTATATTAACAATATAGACTGCATGTATAAACATCTAAGGAGTAAGAAGCTTTCAGAACTGATAAAATACCCTACAACTCAGAATCAGTAAACCAGTAAAGCCAAGCAGGAAATCTTCATTTAGATACATCAAATGGAAATTGTAGAATATCAGATGCAAACGTGAAATTGTGGAAACTAGAAAGATATTAGCATCAAAAGAAAAAGCCATATGCGGTGACACATTCCTGTAATCCCAGGATTCAGGAGGCTAAAGTAAGAGGATCACTGCAAGTTTCAGGCCAGCCTGGACTATATAGTGAGTTGAAGGCCAGTCTGAACTACATAGTGAGACCCCAAGACCCTGTCTCTAAAAGCCAAATAAATCAATAAATAAATAAAATAAAATGTGTTGACAGGTGACTTCTGCAAATACAGTAGTATTTTCAATGTCTGATCACGTGGCAAAGCTGCCTAGCCTGAATGCCACTAGAGAATGAACTGAGACCTGTTTGCTGACTGCCACTTTTCTGTCTCCCCATGGCTTACAATCATACGGCAGTGTGAGAAAATGAGGCAGGGAAGACCCTAGGGGAAAACCCCGTGTTACTGCAGAGATTACTACCTAGAGAAGGGAACAGATCTTCTAGAGCCTTTTATTTATTTATTTTTAATAAAATGGAGGCTTGCGTTGGTTTCTTATACTCCTGGGCTCAACTGATCCTTCTGCCTCTCATCCTCCAGAGAGCTTGGACAACAGTTGTGTAATACAATTCCCAGCTTGGGGTTGCAAAATCCAAATGCTACTGATCTTATCACATTTTGAATTATTTCACATGTCACCATTTGGAAATCTATCTAAACGCATGGCCAAAAGTCACAAAATGGAAAAAACTGACAAACCTTGAAAGGAAAAATAATACCTATGCTGAAAGTGATACCACAAACAAAGCTAAAAGAAAAGTTGACAGGCTAGAAATATATTTGCAATAAACCAAAGAATGGATCAGTATATGGTAGATACAAATAACTTCTATAAAGCAATAAGTAAAAAGATTTTTATGTAAAAATAAGGACCCCTTATATCACTTCCAAAATTTTAAAAAAAAAAAAAACTTAAAGAAATAAACAACTAAACAACAATATAGAAAGGGTTTCACTTTTACTTCCAATGAAAAAAATGAAAAATGAGGCAAAAGAATATCAGACCACTCTGATGGCTGGAAATCTCATTAAGTATTGGCAATAGTTTAAAGTATGGACCAGTTCACACATCACTTACTACGTAATGGGTACTTATCTCGATTTAACTACTTACATTAACTCATTTCTTTTAGTGTGACTATAGACAAACAGAATTTTAATAGTGAATATTCAGTTCACTGTAGCCATTATTCCTTTACACCTTTACATGATACCATCTCAAACCAACAGGTTATGTTCTTTGGAGTATGATTCTATTGGCGCAAAAAAAAAAATGTTATACACCAATACTTCAGTTCACAAATGCTTTTGTTTGAGAACAATTTGGTTCACAAAGAAAAGTATGTGACAAAATTTTATTTTGTTTACATCAGGGAACAAATATGATCATGGCCATCTTTCCCATACAAACACAAACGTGGCCAAGGTACCACTGTATGTATTTATGTATAGATATGTACATAAACAAACATATATTTGTAAATATACATATGTAAATGCATATGCAAATTCAGAAATAATTAACTACTAAACAATTGCTAAACCAGGATGAGAAATGCAGAAGGCAGAAATTTAGAATAAAAAGGTTTTTTTTTTTCTGAAATGGAGTTTCACTATAGAGTTCAAGGTAGTCTTGAACTCCTGAGTTCAAATATTCCTTCTACCTCAGCCTCCCACGAAACTGGATTACAGAGGCATGCACATCACTGCACCCAGCTGAAGGCATAATTTACTTTAATCCAATACACTTCACTATTAAATAATTTCCTTTTGCATTGTATCAGTGAAGCCACGCATGCTTGTGCTCATCTGTAACTCCAGCACTTGGGCAGCTGAGGTAGGAGGACCACTATCATTCAATGCCAGCTGTTCTAAAAGAAAAAACCACAAAGTAAAATGAAATAAAGTGTATCAGTGAATAATGTGTACAATTATAAAAAATAAAAGTAGGTCAGAACTGGTCTGAAAATGAAACAGGATCTGTATATTCTGTGACAAAGTTAGAAAGGAAACACTGAAGAGTCCAGTAATTCAAGTCCTTATTGGACTCCCTAATACTACACCTGTCTGTACTTAAATGCCAGTTCAGCCACCTTTTTAATACAGCTGAGAACCCTACAATTCCTCCATTTTCCTAGGCCATTGGGGTTATATTCCTACATAAGCTTAGTCAGACTCAAGTTGAACACTCTGAGTGAATTTCCTAAGTACCAACGAAATGTTCTTTAGTCATTGTGTATTGTATATAACTTACCATGATCCGCTTGCTGCGCTGGCTTCTAAGATATTAGGCACAAGCTGAAAACTACTGCTACCTACAAAATTCTTTCTTTTACACATGAAGTTCCAACATTAAGCCTTTAGTGGAAATCATGTGAACACTATATTCCTGATTGTACTTTGCCACATTAGACACAAAATGTACTCCTCGCTAGATAATTTCTGAAATGATTTTCATAGGCATTTACAAATCCATTAGCAAATAAAAGAGAGCACGAACTCAGATAAAAATCACCTGAACACTGGTCATTTTCTTCTGCTTAGGGAAAATGGTCAGCTGAGATGCTCTGTGTCTCTTCTGTAGATGCCCTAAAAATCTCTGTCACTGATGAAGTCTCTCCAGAAATGGTATCTAGGTCCTGGAAGTCTTTCCTCATTCACTTCTTATCCCTTACATGAATGGCCAGGACCTGCAAAATGAAGAGCAAAACAAGTTTTAAGGACACATTCCCTCCGTCTGTGCACTCAGCTAAACACACATTTCTCTTTATTTGGTTCCCCAGACAATTTCATACCTCAGGCTAACCAAACCAAAAAACTTTTGAATGCAAGGAAGATCTGCATTTGTTCTCGGAAGTTGGAAGTAGTACAAATGTGAAAGTATAAATGGTAATGGAGCCCAGCCAGTACCATGTCTTGGTCACAAGTAATTCCCAGATCAATTTTAGAAATGAGGTCAGAAAGACACTAAGGAGCTATTATTTTTAAAGTATGTTGCCTTTGTGACTCTTTGTAAAGTCTTTATATAACTATACAGACTGCAGTATGAAAAACTGGACACCAGAGGCCGGGGATAGAAATTAACATGCTATAAATACCAATTTTAAAAATTTAAGTCAGCCAGTATAGCGCATGCCTGTAACCCCAGCATTCTGGGAAGCAGGGGCAGGAGGATTGGGAGTTTGATCCTAAACTGGACAACTCAGCATTGACCCTATCTCAAAATTTTAAAAATGGGGCTGAGATGTAGCTCATTGTGAAGATCTGGGCCCCAACACCACACACACACACATACACACACATATACACAAATCAAACAAAAACCCCACTTTTTTATAATTTTTTATTTTAAAGAAATTAAGACAAAAGAGAACATAAAGCAGATCAGAACAGAACAATGTAAGCAACACAGTATTTCACAAGACAATCCGTAATTAACAGTAATTACCATAATGTCTCTTTCTTTGAAATAATAGAGCATAACTTAATATACAATAGTATCAAACATAACAAAATTCTACAAAACCATTCAAGAGAATGAAAGTATTATAGGGAATTCAGAACCAAATAACAGAGAACAAACAATGGCTACTACATTATCTCATTTTCCATAGAAAATGTTTATACTATCACACATAATAAAATCCAGTAAAATAAAACTTGATAGAACCAATGGAAACAAGAACAAAAGCATGGTAGGACTTCAGAGTAAGATGATATTAAATCAGCACTGGCTATTATAATGTCTTGTTTTCTTCAAAATAGCTCTTCATACTATTCACAGATAATAAAATCAAACAAAGCAGGATAAAAACCCCACTTTTTGAAAAAATATAAACACTGGAGTTGGCTGTGGTACACATGTGTATAATCCCAGCACATAGGAGGCTAAAGCACAAGAATTACCAGGAGTTTGAGGCCAACCTGAATTATACTGTGAGGCCCTGACTTAAAAACTCAAAAATAAATAAACGCTTGAATAGCGTATTTATACTCATAAATAGAATTGAAAGGAATATTTTACAATAAACTTAAAAAGATAAAAAGATTGTTATTTAGAAAGCCTATTAGTTTTAAATATGCTGAGCCATTCCTCCCCCCCCCCCCAAACTTTATTTCTGAGTGTTCAAGAAGATAGGATTTCGTAGGAAAACAGGATTAGAAAATTAGTCATGGAGAAGGGTCTTGGACCTGAACATTTGGGGAAATGTCAGTGTCAATTAAGTGTGTTACCGCAGCCAAAGTCTGAGTTCAACAAACTCACCAGCCAGAGCTTCTGAGTCTCCAAAGTTCAACTTTTCAATTTGTGCGCCAGATAGTGACCACTACTCCAAAATCTGGACTTGATTCACAGGTATACTGACCTCCCTTAACGACCTCTAAGTCATGGATCTCTCAATTAATCTAGATCCTTACTGGCAAACATCACCCAACAAGTTTTCAACCATTGAAACAGAGAGAGTGACCCGCGAAGACCTGAATCCCAAACCTCAGGATTCTTGGTTTACGTTCAGAGTTTTAATCATTGACAATCAGAGCACAGTATGACCGAACACAAAGGTACCTCATTTACAATCGTCCCGCGAACTCCTACAAGTTTTCCTCCAACCGCGGGACAGCAAAAGCCCTCTTAAATAGATGCCTAGGAAAGATCCCTCCCTCGCCTCGGGTATCGACCTGACCTACACTCCAGAGCCCGCGACCTCTTAAGGGAGGAACTCACTTCCCCAACTTCAAGGTCCGCCCCTCCTCGCCCTGCCCCCTCTGCCGAAAACATTAGTTAAAGCGGTCAGTGCCCCTATCCAGAATGGAAGTGGACTTCCGGCTCTCCCTGATGACGTATCCCCGCCTACCTGGTCTCGGCGGCCATCTTGACGCCTGAGGTACAGAGGCGTAGCGGTCGCTTCTGCGTCTGTGACCAATGAATGGTTGGCGTGAGTAGCCTTGAGAAAAAACAGTGACACGGTGTCGTCCCAGGTGCCCTGTCTCTAACGGAAATTGGGAGAGAAATGCAGAGGTTCGAGGTCACGCAAAGCAGGCAAGGCGTGTGAGGAAAAGGACAGAGTCGCGAAGCTGATCGCTTCTTGTCGGCCGCTGAGATTGACTCACGCTTCAGAAGCGCCTCACGCGTTTCTTTAAAGGCGACCTTTAAGGCCGCGATGTCTGACTTCGGAGGGAAGTTAAAATACGTTAAACTCTTCATTACTCTAAATGTGAAACATTTTACAAGTCTTATTTTAAGCTGGTCCCAAAAAGCTGGTGGTATGCTCTAGCCATGTAGTATTTGGGCCTATAGGTAGGTAAACTGGACAGGGTTATCATAGGGGAAATTCACTGTCTCTGCTGCATAACAAGTATTCTCTGGGGCACTCTGGAGTGGATGTGGCGAATGGAAATGACTTTAGAAGAAAAACAGGACCTGGAAAATGATGGTATGAGAGATGTGCCAATCACAGGGGTGACAGCTTTCTTGTGTCTTTCCAACCGTGCTTTACCCTGCTCAGGTACAGAACACATCCCATGAACTGGTCTTTTGTTATTATAGTCTACATTTTGTAAGTGGACACGTCCAATGTGTTATTTTTAAAAATCTGGCTCCACACGATTGTTTTTAAATTGAACAGCTTTTGTGCTTCAGCATGATAGTTTTAAAATTCAACAGCTTTTGTGTTTCAATTATTTACTTGTTGCTTAATATTCTATTGGACAGACACTCCTCATTTAAGGACCCTGCTTAGCTCCGTGCCAGTGACTTCGTCGTTAATTGACTTGGTCACTAAATGAGGAATTGTATGTAGTATGTAAAATATTCAGAACAAATGATCGAAAGACAACGCCAACGATGAGGTTGCTCTTATTTGCTTAACTCTTACATGGAGTACTGTAATGTATAACAAAACATAAAGTTACAATATTGCGCAGTATAATAAGCAAAAATACAGTACTGTATAAATGAGGTCTGATGTACAAAAAAATTGAGGCTCTATTAATACAATGTGCAGAACTGTATCAAGATGTCATAAGCAGCAAGTTATAAGTGCCAGCAGTTGTTAAAGAGGTGTTAAATAAGGAATGTCTATACTAGACACATGAACAAACTAATTCAATGAAAATTATTTTTGTAAGAACACATGCATTCCAATAACATTTAAAATAAAAATATAGTAGCCACCAACAAATCAGCATTTCAGCTGGATTCAACCAGTTTTGATCCCACATAGGTCAGAAAAGGCAGGAATGAGAACCTGCAAGTTTATGCAAGATGAGATGTCTGAGGAAGATGGAGGCAGCAGCCAAAATGAAAAAAGTAATTGATGGTTAGCATGTCCAACAGAAACTGAAAATATTTATCCTGAATGTGTGCAGCTGCATAGGATATGGAGGTAGGAGAAATGAAGCTTTGTCATTTCAGATGTAACCAGTTATTTTCTAAAACAGATGAAGATAGGCATGAAGCATGTGAAACTATTAAATTATTAAATAATGCAGTATTTGGCAAACACCACTAATATATATTAGCTATAGCTTCTATGATAAAGATGTAAAGCAGTAAAAGATTTAACTTGGCCTCCTTAAAGCAATTTGGAATCATCTATTTAGTTAAAACTTTGTATTTACCTGGCATAAATTCAGCATCTGGTCCTCAGGACACCTTATTTGAGGACACTGGCTAATGACTTGAGGAGTATAACAAGACAGAATGTGTAGAATCACAAGACATAAGAGGATTTGAAATCTGTATTGAGTCCATTTCTTATTTGCTATAAAGCCATCTGTCTTGAATGCACCATACAGGCTATTACTTTACCTATTTTGTTCACTAGTGTCTACAATAGTGCCTGAAACAATGCTGGTCCTAAGTATAGTGAATTACCTAATAGTCCAGCATGCAGGATTTCACTGGGAGACAGCAATTTTACAGTAAATTTTGGCTTTCTCCTTATAAACAGGGCTTAATGTTTCTAAGCTAGGTCTAGCTTTACTGATTAAGGAAAAGAATTTGTGTATAGGAGAGATGGTGAGGGCAAATGATGAAGACAAAGCACATTTCTCAATTCAACAGGAGAGTGGAGTCAGGAATTTTGAGACCATGACAACGGTCAAAATTGATAGATCTGTGGATATTTTTCTCCAACATCTCCAATTCTTCAACATCTCCAGAAGAATCACACCTTCACCAATCTCAAGGGTTTTGTTTTTTGGGTGGGGGAGTGTTGGTGGGTTACTGATCCTTAAAATTTCTTTCCACTAACTCCTTTCCTTCCATGACAGAAGTTAGTGATTAGTCCACTAAATCATTCATACACCTTCATTTACCTTCCAACTCTATATATAATTTCTATTTTTGCTACCTGCTGCAGAATATACAATTATCTATAAAGTGTGAAGGAATTCAAAATTTAGGTAGATATGAACATTTTAGAAGTAGTCGTACCTTATTTTATATAAAATTAATCCTTTCTCCCTCCTACTCCAAATGACAATATGCCCCTTGAACAAGAAATTGTAAGGACACTTTGATACCACTGCATGCAGAATAGCTATATACATCCTTTAAGTACATGTGCTAGAGGACAAACTTTCCTTATTTTTTTGACATAAGCTCTCACTGTGTAGCCCAGCCTAGCCTTGAACTCATGGCTTCAGCCTTCCATGTGCTGGGAGTATAGGCCATAACAACCACACACAGCAGGAGGGTAAAATTTCTACATGTATAAAATCTAGTTTAAATGAAATGGTGACTCAAAACTAGCAAGAGTTTTTGTCTTGTTCATCACTGTCATCACCTACGCTTTCTAGAACAGCACCAGGTAATACAGTTGATAAAATTTTTTTCTGAGTAGTGTGTTTACCAGTGATGAGACAAACCACAGGATGAGAACTATGTGCTAGGGTAAGCATGTAGCTGATTACTCATTTAATACTCATTGGAATTTCATTCCCTGACATGATAAACATGTCTACGCATATTTCACCTTCTTTTGAATGACTTCATTTCTTAGAACCAAAGAAATACAAGTGTTAATCATATAATGATCCTGGGTGGAAACAAAACTCATGCCAAAAAGGAGAGAAGTACAGTGTTATAACTTTGACCAGAGATGGCAATGCAAACTAGTAAGGAGCCACTAACATATTGTCATAAAATGCAAATCATGAATCTCATCTATAATTTAGACTTGTGACAGAAACCTCTGAACTCCTCATTCTCACAGGGCTTATTTGCTTCTTTAATATTTTGCTGCAGATGTTCCAGTTAGTGTATTCATAGTTTTATTTCTATTTAATTTTCTGATAACTGAGTCATAACACTGGCAACCTGCCACATTCACTGCTATTGAAGGTCTTTCAACTACATTTTTTTTGCATCAACTCTTGATACCTGCAGAGAACTTATTTCTGCACAAGGACTTTTCCATGTTCAATGTATTTCTACCAAACATAAGCTCATTTTTGTGATGTATCATCATTGATGACAGGGTGTATCTTCCCATAAAAGACTTTCCTGGTGTCTGTATTCTTATTTTTCTCAACATACACTTACTGAACAAAGTGAGCTAGGTTTTTACTCAAGGGTCTTTTACCTCAAGTGTATCATGGTTTATTCCTTTGTGTTTTTTATGACATATAACTAATCACTAACAGCATGATTACATTCACTGCGTTCATGTTTTCCCTTCAGTGCAAATTATATTCTCTGGTGAGGCTGAACACCTAGCATCTCTGTCTCGCAATGGCTCTATTCCTATTTGCTTGAAAATCACTGTGGTTTAATGAAGCCTCAGAAGGCTTTTGCAGTCACTGCGCTGATAGTATTTTTCTCCTGTAGGAGATCACTTATATGGGATAAGCTGTGACTACTTGAGAAAGTATTTTTCAACTTCACTAAATCAACACATTTCTCTCTTGCATGCAGCATTCCTTTGTGATAAACAAGGCATGACAAGTGGGAGAAGGCTTTCCCACAATCAGAGCACCCATAGGGTCTCTCTCCTGTGTGAGTTCTCCGATGTCTATTGAGGCATGACTTATTCCTGAAAGCTTTCCTACAGTCACCGCATCTATAGGGCTTCTCTCCTGTGTGAATTCTCTGATGGTTAATGAGACCTGATTTGTGTAAACAGGATTTTCCACACTCATGACATACACAAGGAGTCTTCCCTGTGTGAAATCTTTGATCTGATATCAAGCATGTCTTCTGGCTGAAACCTTTACCACATACATTACATATGTAAGGTTTTTCTCCAGTATGAATACGCTGATGTATACAGAGATTGCCCTTCTGGATGAAGCCTCTTCCAAACTCGTTACATGTATAAGGCTTCTCTCCAATATGGGTTTGCTGATGTACAGTAAGATTGCCTTTCTGAATGAAGCCTTTTCCACAGTCACTGCATATATATGATTTCTCTCCTGTATGAGTTTTCAGATGTGCATTGAGCTGTGATTTCCAGTGGAATGCCTTATCACAGTCAGCACATTCATATGGTTTTTCTCCTGTATGAGTTCTCTGATGTTCAATAAGCCTGGATTTTCTGGAGAATGCTTTCTCACAGACTGCATCCATGAGGTTTTTCCCCTGTATAAACTCGCTGGTGATTAATAAGCTGAGATTTCTTAGTGAAGCCCTTTCCACAGTCACTGCATACATAGGATTTCTCTCCTGTAAGAATTTTCTGATGTGCAATGAACTGTGATTTACAGCAGAATGTTTTATCACATTCAGTGCATTCATATCGTTTCTCTTGTATATGAGTTTTCTGATGTTCAGTGAGTTGGGACTTTCTGGAAAAGGCTCTCCCACATATACTGCATCCATGAGGTTTCTCTCCTGTATGAACTCTTTGGTGATCAATGAGGCGAGATCTCTTGAGGAAGACCTTCCCACATTCAGTGCATATATAGGATTTAGCTATCTTTTGAGTTATTTGATGTGAAACTATATTCACAGAATTTCCACACTCAGGGAATTTAATTTCAGTATTAAATTTTTCATGCTGGGCAAGGAGGAATGACTCTCCATCTCCATTAATCTCAACAGGATTCTTTACTTCATAGCTTCTGTGCTGTTTAACTACATTTAAATTTGATTTAGTGTTTTCTCATGTAAGTCATATACATCATGGCTTTGCTTTAAAAGGAAATTACTTTTCCTCTAATGAATGACATTTCCAAATGCATTATGTTTATGGCATTCTGTTCTTTTTAGCCATCTTTTAGTTTGTGAGCGTGACTGTATATTAGCTTTCTTGATTTCTAGGAAAGAGAATAACAAATCATTCCATGAGAATAGAACACAATACAACTAATTCACAAGATTGGTTTTTTATTGGTTAACACTATTACAAGTCAAAGAAATTCCCATAGACATTTTCATTGTCATTTGGACAAATGTAAAATACAGCAACTTAAAAAGAGCAGAGTATAAAGTTAGTGCTAAATACAAACTATGAAAAGTGGCTGGTGGGAACAGTGAAGAGGAAAGTAGAGGAAATCAAGATATAAACTGGAAAAAGATATGGTTCACCCATGGTTTCAATATGGGGAGATTAATAAAAGTGAAGAATTAAGGATGACTGCTAATAATTTGTGTTAAGCTACTACAGGTTAATAGTGGAATACTGCCCTTTTCATGAGGTTCTGAATATTGGGGAAATCAAATCGGCATTTTAAAGAGTATTGTCCTTGAGATTGGTTTTAAATATTCAAGTACAAGCATTAAAAGTCTAGTTGAATATATAAATTGAGAAAGGTCTAGCCTGGAGATCATGAAAATTACCATTATTAATAATGGAAAAAGTATAAATCACCAGCATGATAAACAGGTGATTCAATGAGATCATGTTTAGAAAACCATGTAGACTGAAATGAGACAAAATCATTGTTAATCTTAAACTTATTATTGTTACAATAATAAAGAGTTCGGTTTTTGAAAAGCCCACTGAGGGTATCAAACACTAAAATGACCAGGAAAATGAGAAGACATATCAGTATATAGGTTTTAGGAACTATATTCCCAAAGAAGTGAGTTAGAATGTTGTAAATCCAACATATGATTTATAGATAATAAATTCTTGGGTTGGGTGATCATCTTAGTCTTTTAATCCTTTATTCTGTAGACCACCATTCAAAGCAAATTACTAAAGCATCATGGCTTTCACATTTAAAGGAAACATTTCACATTTCACATTTAAAGGAAAACTTCTATAACAAATACAGTTGTTATGAACCATTCTATATGAGAAAGAAAAACGGTGATTCTTCATGGAATTCAGACCACCTAGTCCCTAGAACACGTGCTGCAGCAACTATCATCTTTTTCAGTCTCATTGTGTACTTGACACACATGTAAAACATAAGACTATACATCCAAAGATAACGCAAAACAAACTCACACCCTAGTTCTATTTCGGCTACACATAAACATCTGCAACAGCCTGGGGAAAAAATGAACCATGGTTATATTCCTTACCCCATGCTCATGCTCACTTAGTTCCCTAAAAATACCTTCTAACTTGTAAGTGGCCAGGTTTAAACCAGTATTTTGACAGTGTCTCACAAGGAATTGCATATTTTCAACTTTGCACCTACATTTTTTTTTCCAATAGCTTTCTGGAGACATCACTGATGCATAAAAATGAATACATTTGAAGTATAATTTGATGTCTTACTGTATGCACAAATTGTAAAATTATCATCAGCTAATTAACATATCTATAAATATAAATGCAGGTAATTAACATATCTATTGCTGCCATACAGTTACTGTATGTGTATCCCCTTCTTTCCTTGCCCTTCATCATTTTCTTTATTCAAATCCTACCTATGCCTCCTCTAAATCATACTTCCATTCCCTGTCCTAGATGAATGCAATCTCTGTTTCCATAAATTTCTAAAGCATTCCCTACTTCTCTTGTTTATTTGGACAGTTTACTTCCTACAGCTATGAACTGTAGCAAATGGTATCTCAAATTCAGTAGCTGGTTTATGATAAGAGTTATATATATTATTTGACCTCTGCTGAGGACAGCCTGACATGGTGCAAAGCAGGCAGGCAGTGATAATAAATTGGCATAAAATAAATTGAGTCTGTCCTAGGCATATGTGACTTGTAGTGAGGCCTGTCGCTGGCATAGGATGAAATTAATCCCCAGACCAAAGGCCAGAGCTGAAACCAGCCACTGGTTCATGAAGTCCTGGCACCTCAAAGGGAAGAAACACTACAGCTAAGGACTATGTGACTCACATCCAAATTTCTTTCAGTTAGCAGATAATCAGGTTTCTCGTTAACTGTGATCTGTTCCTGTGTGCTTTTCCAAAAATTATTTGTTCTTTGAATCCTTGAGCCTTGTCTAAATCAGCAGTTCACCCCATCACCTCCTGAAGCCCACCAGCACACCCCCTAGTACACCTAACGAAGGCCAGGGACACAGCGTCTCATGGTCTTAGTCTTTCTCTGACTCTAACCATTCTGGTTCCCCTTGTAACTAAATATACATCTTGTCTATGTTCTATTCCTTTGTTATTATTTTTGTTTTCCTGGAAAATTTTACTTCCCAGTAAATACAATGTCTTCTAGCATGTTAGGACTGTGGTTCACAAACTAGGCTCAAGAGGGCCTACTTACACTCATATATTTGACTGGCCCAGGCTGTCATCCCTAATCTCACACAAACGGACTCAGAGGAAGAGGTGCTGGTAAACATGATAGCTACATATGTGACAAATGCTCATCTTTCCAATCACAATTTTGTTCAAATGTCTTCAGCTGTACTGCTACTACCGAGTACTTCAATAGAAAATTCGCATCTGTGTTCTTTTGTAAGCATATTTAGCAACTGCTAATGCTCACCCTTTCTACCCAAGTCAAAGATGACCATTCTGGTACTATAGCTATTGTCTCCCATGTGAATTTCAGGCTTAAACCTCATCTTCCTATTACAAAGGAACCAACTTGATCTTTTTAGCATAAATTGTAACACACCACTCCTCTACTTAAAACTCTCATGTTTCTCGTCTCTTTTCATTTTTAAAGGAAAAAAAAGTCCTTGAAAGTTCCTACATGGCCTGTCAATTCTACATTCTAGCTACTACCACACTGATCTTATCTCTAACCACTTCCTCTTCTTACTCCACTAATTTAAAATAAGTTTCCTACAAGATCCTAAAGTATATATGTGCTTCAGCTCACATGGAAAGTAATTCACCCAGGTGATCTGCTCATGTGGTTCATACTGCTGCTCAAAAACACCTTCCCAAACAGCCACTCCTATCCCAAAGCAGCGCTCCCAGCCCCTTCCCACACTGCTCCTTTATGTCATTTTATTGATCTTCCCAGCACTTTTCATAAGACATTTACTTGTTTTTGGTGTTTTGGGACAGGGTCCCTGCATGTACTACTGGCTGGCCTTGACTTGCATAGTCCAGATTACTTTTATTTTTTTTTTATTGGTACCGGGGATCGAACTCACAACCGTGTGCTTGCAAGGCAGTTGCTTATGCCGCTGAGCTAAATCCCCAGCCCCATCCCAGATTACTTTTGAACTCTCAGCAATCCTGTTTCAACCTTCTGAATTCCAGGATTATAGGCACAAGATACCATGTCCAGCTTAAGACATTTATTTTGATTACTTTTCTGCCTCCTTGTTGTTAAATATTATTCCAAGAAGACTTTTTGTTGTTGTTTTTGTTCACAGTTGTCAGGAACAGTTCAGTGTGTGATAGACTATAAAAATATTTAAGGCAATCAAAAAGTATTTAAGGAAATGAAATAAAGATTCACACACATGTAGAACACATTGGGGAAACTGCCTTAAAGGCAGATGACCTTGAGTTAGGAAAAGGAAGAGGAGAGCAAATTCTAAAAGGAAGTTTGAGGTTTGACTAAAATATCATTTAACAGAAGAGAAATTTTGCTTAGATTACCATTATGATTAACTGGGACTTAATTCTATCAAAGTATAGAATTAAGGAAAGCTTTAAGAGAATGAGTACAGTAATATCATTCAAAGGAAACAAATGGTGATCAGTTAATAACTGCACAGAGATATACAAGCAAAGCAAGCATGAACCTCAAAAGATGAGAATTTTTTAAAAATATAAGGGATCTGAGGCAGCAGGGAAGTTTCAAGGTACCTCCACAATGGCCACCACAGATTAAAGAGATGCCATGGGAGAGAGTGATTTCATAGTCCAAAAAAGTAAGTGAAGAAGTATTGAGACATATCATCCTGAAAAATCTCAAAAGACATGAGCTTGAGAAATTGGAATGATGAAAATTTATACAATTTTTAATGGAACAAAACATGAAAAACAGTCCTTTTCAGGGTCTCAGAGTGGGGACAGAGATGCTCAGGAAACAGAAACATGGAAAGCAGCAGACCAGGTCACTATGGAGGCATACAATCAAAGGGGAGTGGTAAATGTCAGCAAAGGAAAGCAATGTTGTGCAAAAAGGCAGGAAAATACAGTAAGAAGACACTATAAAATCAAAAATTTCACAGAAGAAAGGCATGGATAGCAAAGTTTCATAACAAGAAAAAAAAAGACACAGCTAGGGACACTGGTGGAAGAAAAAGAATGGCAGGCTTTGAGAATCCCAAAAAGAAAAAACCTAGAGAAAAAAGTCAAGACCTAGCAGAAATAAACAATGACCAACTCCAAGTAGAGGTATACATGCTTATAAACACCTTAAAAGAAAGATTTTACTTGCAGAGGAGACATGGCGGCTCCATTTATACATCATCAGACACTCACAGTTGCGACACTTCTAACAAACAGAATATATTCTCTGGGCCACCATCCTTGCAGGTATTCCTCACTCACCTGCGTAGATCTGACTGTGGATTTCATCCTCCACTGTCCATGGTTCTCCATGTAGCAACCTGGAGAGGGCATCCGGCTTGCTGGTTTGACACCCTGTTCATGGGAAATGACAGAAATCTTAGGCTCATCAAACTGGCTGTGATCTGTCACCGTGGGAGAACATTCTCTTTTAGGAACTATGTAGCTTATGCCTGAAAATCAAAGACTCTTCTAGCAGAAGAGGCCACATTACATTCTCTACCTGAGGCCAGAGAGAAACTACACATCTACCATTCAAGACACCACAGGCCATCCAGGGATTCTAGGAGCTGAGGAAGAAAAGGCACAGATGGGTACCTTTTAACATGGAGCAGCCATCCTCACCCACTGACACCAGGCTCCTGTAGTTCTCCAGCAACACGTCCCGGTACAGGTCCTTCTGAACAGGGACCAGGAGCTGCCACTCCTCCTGGGTGAACCTCACGGCCATGTCCTCCAGTGTCAGTGACTCCTGTAACAACAAAGTCCCATGATTTCCTTGCAATGATAATGGGAAAAAAGTTACTTTTTCTTTCTTCATCTATACACCTATCTGTTGTTGTTTAATGCACTGTGGAAGTAAATTCCTATAAAAACATTCCCTAATTATTTGCTCCCCAATCATACATCCAAATAAGAATTTCTGTCATGTTTAGAATTTACTGGTAGCAAATATGTCACTCAGGAACAGTCAAATAGAAGAGACACATATGGCAAGATTTAGCAGTGTGCAGCCATGCCCTCTCTCGGTGTACTACACTATCAGTACCTCAATGTGTACACCAACTCCATTACTTAAAGGAGTTCATGCAGGTTTCATGATTAGAAATGACGGATTTTACACTGGTCAGTGGGGAATGAACGCAATCTCTAGCCTCACTACTCTCAGTGGAAGTTGGGTATAAGGCCAAAAGTTTCAAGCTTTTAAAAAGGCTTGATGTTTCAGATAATCAGTCTCATCCATCCTGAAGCTATCTAGAGAGCCACAAAAAGTCACTTTACTATAACAAAAGCAGAGCCTATGAACTGTATCAGTGATATCAAACTAGTCCAAGGCTTTTAGGAGCTCTATGCCAGAAAGTAAGGATAAAGATCAAATACCTTTCTATGACACCACACTAGGAACAATATACTCCTGATTCTACTTTGCCTTGATGTTGAAATTAGAGTTTAAGGGTATTTTGGCACAAATTCCATTTTAGACTTTTTCCACTTACTTCACTTTTAAAGGTTGTCAGAAATTAATCACAGAACGAATAAAAAATAAAACAAACTCAAAGTTACCTTATAGTGGATCACCTGGACAGCTCTTCTTGAAGAAAGAGCAATTACCTCCACTTTGGCTAAACCTGACCCTATCTCCATGTACTGGTATGTGCAGAGCTGGCTAAGGTATTCCCTTTTCCTATCAATTGGCTCTAAGCAATATAAATAGGGCCAGCTGAAGTACTGATGCATAATCTTTGAAGCCAGTTGCGAGTCCTGTTTCCTTGCCTTGGTGTCTCCATCTAAATGGTTGAGCGCAGCAAAAGAGCAGGGCCACACAGCTCCAGGGCTGTCAACTGGGTTCAAGTCTTGCGATAAGAGGCTATGACTTCCCACGGTAGAAAAGATTGATACATCAAAACTAAAGCACCCTTCTAAACATTAAATGCTACCTCAACTGTGTCTGGCCTCCTAGCTAGCCCAGCTCACAGTACTCACATAATTACTGCAATTCTCATAGTGACTCACCCTTTAGCCACTCCCTTATGAATAAATAAAATCTGGGTTATGCCCTGGGTCAAAGCCTTTGTTCCATAAATTCTCATCTGGACAAGACTCAGGACTCCTTGGCTTCCCTTAACTATAAATAAGTATTGGTATCTTTATTCTCACCATGGGTTGCACTGGAGATGGTAGATTAAAATTAATTTGCCAGGATTCCAATAATGTTTCTATGGGATTACAAATATAAACTTCTCAGGCCATAACAAGGACAAAAAAAAAGAAACTCTATATTACCTGCAGACCCAATGAAATACTATGCAGTGATTAAAAATCTAGATGTGGGGATGTAGCTTAGCGGACAGGATGTTTACTTAACATGTTCAAGGTCCTGTGTAGCACCACACACACATTCACATGCACAAAAAACAAGAAACCAAAAATCTATGTTTAGTGAAGAAAAGCACATATCTAAAAGTTATGTGTATAAGTACATGACTAGTTGCACACCACTACAGTGGCTTCAGAGAAAATCATGATATACAACTTTATATCACTAAGATGACTACAATAAAAAAATGAAAACAAGTATTGGTGAATATACGAAGAAATGGAAGCCTCCATATATTGATGGTGGGCATATTAAATGGTACAGCCCCTTTGGAAGACAGTATGGTAGTTACTCAAAGGGACACACATATTTCCTAGATGACTTAGCAATTCTATTCCCAAGTTTATATACAAGAGAAATAAAAAAACACATATTTGCACACAAATGTTTATAAAAGCATCACTTATAATAAAAAAGTGAAATGAACAATACAAATATCCATCAGCTGCTGAAGTACAAAAACAACATGCTATAAAATGGACAAAACTTCAAGTAATTTAAGCTGTCACCTTATCTTTGACAAAGGGGTCAAACATGTCCCCTAGAAGAAAGATAGCCTCTTTAATAAAGATTCTGGGAAAACTGGCTTTCCACATGGCACAGTACTTCAAAGAATTAACAAGTGGAATCTCATCTTATTAAAAAGATTAGCATGTCAAAAAACATCACCAGCAGAGTGAAAAGAAAACCCACAGATGGGAATAAATTTTAGGCAAATGTCCCTCAGACAAAGGATCTTTAGAATATAAAGACCTGAAAAAATCGGACTCCCTCAAATTCAAAGGCCCAATCCAAAAATGGACATCTGAGATGAATACGCCCTTATCAAATGAAGAAATACAAATTGCAAATAAATATATAGAAGACTGTCCAATATCATTGGTCATTTGAGAAATGCAAATTAAAACTGGCTAGCATCAAGAAATAAATCAATAACAAATGCTGGAGAGGCTACAGGGAGAAAAGAACCCTTCTCGACTGTTGGTGGGAGTGTAGACCACCAGTTCAATCACTGTGGAAATCAGTGTGGAGATTCCTCAGAAAACTAGGATTAAAGCTCCCACTTGACTCAGTTTTTCCCTTTCTGAGTATTTTCTGAGAAGAATTACAAACAGTATAGCACAGTGATATATGTGTACCCATGTTTATAGCAGCACAATTTGTAATAGCTAAATCTTGGAAACAACCCAAATGCCCGTCAACTGAGGAATAGATAAAAAAACATGAAGTATTTTTATACAATGTAGTACTACTCAGTTATAAAGAAGGATAAACTTGGATGCTTTCATAGGTAAATGAAAGCAAATTGGGACCATACTCATAAAGTGAAATAAATCAGACTCACAGGTATACACTTCATATTGTCTCCCTAGTGTAAGAAAACTGAAAGAGCAAATAAGATTCAAAATGTACAATAGATATTGTGAAAGGGGAAGAAATTACTTAAAAGGAAAGAACTTGGGGGGGGGGAAGGAAAAGGAAAACATATATATATAAAACCTAAGACAATTATACTATTAATTTCTATTAGTTCATTGAAAAGAATGGCTTGTGCTTATATTGTTTGATCAGTTTTTTATACCTATATCTTACAATCTGAGCACTACTTTGAAAATAACAATACATAATATATTAACCCATTATTAAGCCCCTATTACTTTGTTTTGAAATTCTATATCATTGTTTTTTCTCTTTAAAATAAAAAAATCATTAGGCTGTATGAAAAAAGTCACTCACAAAAGACCACATATTATACAGTTATATTTATACTAAATGTCCAGAACAGGCAAACCTATAGAGGCAGAGAATACTTTTGTGGTTGCCTAAAGGTGGAGGAATGGAGGAATAGACAAACTAGTAAAAAAAAAGTATGATGTTTCTGAGTTGATAAAAATATTCTAATATTAGAGCTAGGGATATAGCTCAGTGATAGATAGCTAGATATGCTAGATAACTTATCTAGCACATATAAGTCCCTAGTTTAATTCCCAGTACCACACACACTCACACATACATGCACAAAAGTTATATTTTGACTTGGTAATGGCTGCACATATTAAACACCATTGAACTACACATTTCATTTATTTGCTTGTTTAGTGAGATTTTGCTTTGCTGAATAAGTAGTGTTGATCTCTGTGCTTCAACCACCCAAACAGCTGGAATTACAAGTGCCTACCACCTAGCCCAATTGAACTGTACATGTTGAATGAATGAATTATATGATATGTGAATAACAAAGCTATTATTTAAAAGAATCCACCAGTAGAACTTAATTACTATATATCTACTGAAATATTTAATGGCAAATGTTTAGATGCCTGCAACTTACTTAGAAATGTATCAAAAACTAAAACAATATTTAATAGCTGTATTAATAATGAGTAAGTTTGATATACAGATATATGATAAAGGAAACAAATGATAAAATTTAGGCGGTAGGTACAGATATTCAGCTATAAAATTCTTCAAGCATTGTTATGTGTTTAAACTTTCATATGTTAGAGGATGAGAAAGCTTGTACTAAAACGAACTCATGCATGTAACTAGAAACAAGAATATTTTTAAACTACTCTTCTATATGATAGAAAATTAGATGAGAACAAAAAAGCCCAAAACAGAGACATACAAAAAGAAACAATTTACTATTGCAACAAAAGAAAGACAGAAAGACTGCCCACAGGGAGCAACACCCTTGATGAAACACAGAAGCATAATGTATTCTAGAGAGTTAGGTGAGCCATGCCTATACCCCCACTGCTTAGAAGGCTAACTGAGAATAGAAGGCCAGTCTCAACTACATACAAAACCCTGTCTCGAAAAACAAAAATAAACGAACAAAAAGCAATGATTTCATAATTGAACTTTTAAACATTTAAATTGTATTAAATATATGAATATACTTAGTGGCTTGATCTATTATGGCACACGTTTGCCTACTGATGGTTTACTACCACAGAAATCTCTAAACAAAAAGTTTTAAACAATTTCCATACTCATTATAACATTCATTATATAAATGTTCACAACATGAAATCAAGTTAAGAAAAATTATACAATGATCAGCAACTTGAATTACAAAAATCCAGCACTGAAAAATAAAGACTGAAATTGAAAGAATATAAAAATACTATCAAAAGTCACTTGGGGATTGGATGTTCCTTACCATTTTAGATTTGATTCATTCTTGACTTCCTCCATAGTTTTCCTACTGAAGGGGACAAAAGGAAGAAACATGAGAAGCCACAGGGGATTTGTACAGTAGTATTTGTTTTGAGCCTCAGGGAGTGTTATGATTTGTGTCTAGATGTCACCTCAAAGCCTCATGCAGTCCCAAGTGGGGCTTTTTCAGAGGTGGCTGGATTTACT